TCCTGCTGGGTCCATGAAGAACACTTGGAGGTGACCAGAGATGCCACCAGGAAGGCCAGACTGATGCACCTGACCCACATGACACGACACACATCCTCCATCCTGCACCATTTTGCTGTGCATCATGCTTAGGAAGTGGCAGGAGAGTGACAGGAATGACGGAAGCACAAGAGGAGAGCTGGTGTGTTGGCTGGAAGTGAAATCTACTAGAATTATAACCATCCAAACACTGACCCTGCAAGGTGAGGAGAGATGGGGAAGGGACACTGGGTTGGGGGTGAGGGCAGGATTAGTTGGATTTAGACCTGCTTGAGGGGCCAGATGCACCTCACCAAGTTCCCTCTTTTTCTACCTTGCCCTGGATGAAGACAGCTCAGCCAGAACAGCCCAGATCTCTACTGGCCAAATGCCTTCTGAAGGGGAGGCTGAAGAGTAGGGGGAGGAATTTTTCACCTAACCATGCAGGCCAGCCAAGCTCTCACAGGCCTGCAGGTCCATCGAGGAAGCAAGAAAGCAAGTGACCAAGCAACAAGTGTGTCGGAAGAATCTGCTGTGTCCAGAACAGCCAAAACAATCTGGAAAAATACAACAAAACTGGAGGACTCATACTTCCCAATTTCAAAACTGGCATAAGGATAGACATAATATAGATCAATGGAATAGAACTGAGTGTCCAGAAATAAACTCTCACAATTACAGTCAATTGATTTTCGACAAGGGTGTTAAAACAACTGGCTGGGCGCTTCCCTGGTGGCGCAGTGGTTGGGGGTCTGCCTGCCGATGCAGGGGACGCGGGTTCGTGCCCCGGTCCGGGAGGGTCCCGCGTGCCGCGGGGCGGCTGGGCCCGTGAGCCGTGGCCGCTGGGCCTGCGCGTCCAGAGCCTGTACTCCGCAGCGGGAGAGGCCACAGCGGTGAGAGGCCTGTGTACCGCAAAAAAAAAAAAAAGAAAAAAAAGCACAAGCAAAAAAAGTTAGACTTCATCAAAATTGAAAACTTTTGGACTTCAAAGGACATCATTAAGAATGCAAAAAAACTCACAGAATTGGAGAACATACAAGGGATTTGTATCTAAAATACATAAAAAACTCTTAAAACCCAATAATAAAGAGACAAATAACTCAGTTAAAACCTGTGCAAAGGGTCTGAATAGACATTTCTCCAGAAAAGATATACAAATGACCAATAAGCACATGAAAAGATACTTAGCATCATTAACCATCAGGGAAATACAAATCAAAACCACAATGAGAAACCACTTCATACCTACTAGCATAACTTTAACTAACAAGACAGATACTAAGATTTTTTTTATTATTATTATTGGAGTATAATTGCTTTACAATGTTGTGTTAGTTTCTGCTGTACAGTGAAGTGGATCAGCTATATGTATACATATATCCCCTCCCCCTTGGACCTCCCTCCCTCCCGCATCCCACCCATCTAGGTCATCACAGAGCACCGAGCTGAGCTCCCTGTGCTATCCAGCAGCTTCCCACGAGCTATCTACCTTACACATGGTAGTGTATTATGTCAAACGTAATCTCCCAGTTCATCCCACCCTCCCCTTCCCCTCCATGTCCACATGTCCGTTCTCTACGTCTGTGTTTCTAATTCCTGCCCTGCAAATAGGTTCATCTGTGCCATTTTTCTAGATTCCATATATATGCGTTAATATATGATATTTGTTTTTCTCTTTCTGACTTACTTCGCTCTGTATGACAGACT